GATACGACGATACGAACAACTAACAATGCACTAAAACAAACAAACAAACAACAAGCTGGCAACGTCGCGCGCTGTTGTGCAGTGTTGCCGTACATGTTGAAATTCACGTGTCGCGCGCCAAATATTGCCTAGTGGATACGAGGCTTTAGGTTATTCATTTTATGGCTCGACTAACACATTCTATATGGAAGAATAAGTCTTCTGAAATACTCAAACGCCACTAAATTTTAAGGCTCGCTCAATGTTCTGTCACTACAAAATCTTTGTTAACTCGTCGAGTACCGTCATTATAGACACAATTATAGAACAATAGGTTGCGGTCACCGGTGACCGCTTGGTGTTTGACAGTTTAAATGACAGAGAAGGTACATTAAGTACAATTTAAAATTAAATAGCCTTTCAGTATTCGGATGTTACCCGCCATTTAATTGAACCGAGACTTAACTAGAGGTGGTAACACAAAAACTCATTTATCTTTTAGAGATTGCGAAAATGAAAATGGTTGTTAAATATGTAGCTGTTTCATTCTGTGCATTAGTTAAAGTATTGCTATCTTTTTCCAACTAAGAATTAAAGAAAGAGATGAAACATAATCTACATATAACATTTTATAAGTACAGTCAACTAAGTTGTTTCGAATGGAAATTGGAAAATAAATATTAATTCAGTTTAGGGTAGTTAGGTGAGTAGGTATTATTGAGCTGACTATTGGTTACACTGGGGGCTACCATATATTTGCTCGACAGGTGGCGCTAATGTCCACCTCTCGTTTTCTTCCAATAGAGAATTAGCTAGTATAACACTATTGGACGTCCCTAAATATGGGAATATTTGACAGCTGCACTGATTGTACATTAAAATCTGGTGACCAAAAATATTTTAACTCCCATTTTCTATGGGATACGAGCAGACGGATCACTTGATGGTAAAATATCGGCCTCGCCCACACACGAAACACTGGAGGCGTTACAAGTGCGTTACCGGCCTTTTGGGGATTAAGAATTTGAGGGTTAAAGAATTTGTAATTGAGTAATTGGGTCCATTGCAAAAGATAGCTTAGTTAAAAGCGGAATATGTTATCTACTTACTTTCTCTAAAAAATAAATCTTTATTATATAGCCAGATAATAAGTTAGAAAACGATAGCAATACTTATTATCAAAAAATAACTCAAAATAACTTCTAAATGCCACAATGTATAAAACTATACTATATCACTAATTGCATTGCATAACATACAATAATGATATTAATATACGAACTGAGATCACTATCATATCTATATATTTAACATATATATTTTAATTATGGTTCACGACTTCCCGGCGTACTCAAAGTCATGGAGATTTAACTTAACCCTTAGGAATAGGGATGACGTTGACGACAGGGTATGTCAAAATCAAAACATATACATACTTACATATTTCCATTATTCCTTAATTAGAGATTTTTGAAACGTCAAAAATACATTGTCCGTCCGTCTATCTGTCAGTGAAGCTAGGCGGTCGTTCCAAAGTGTAGTTTTGAATGGAGAAGAACGAGCAAGAAACTCCAACGTTAATCTTTTGAAAAACATGTATTTTAAATAAATATTAAAAATCTATTTAGACTATTTTAGACCGTCAATTAGGTAATGAAAAAAATATTATGTACGGATTGTTGTAGTCTGTCGTATAAGAAAACAATACTTATATAAAATGAATCAAAGTTTAGGAGTGGGAGTTAACTACGTCAATTATACGTATAGGTAAAAGTAAATCGTACTGTAGAAGTGACGTCACGCGATGTTTTAAATCAATATATCGTACAAAGTATTTGTTTCCGTAAAACCAGCGTTGGTCGGGAACGCTCAACTATATGCTGAGGTGGAGGTCCTTTTGGCATGAGCACGCGCAAATTAATATTATTATTTTGTTTTTTTTTTGTTAATTCTGTTTATCGCATTGTTTTTTGTTACATTGTGATGTTTTTGTTCTGTTCTCTATTCTTTTAAGTTTATTATTAGTATTTTGTTTATGTAATGTATCGTATTTTTATTTTTTATAGTCTTTGTTTCGTGTGCTAATTGCCAAATAAATGGTATTTCGTTCTTTCTTCTAAAAAAATAAAAAGTACATATCTAATGTTTTAAGATAATCTCTCAGACGGACATTAAAATAAAAAATTGTCATTAACCCTATTGATTTCGGAACAAAATCGGAATATTAAGGAATTGTTTAAGTATTCATTGAATGTCTTTGAGTATGGAAGTTAATCACATAGCTGTTTGATAAAATAATTCAACTACTTTGTCGCGCAATCCTGTTCATGGCTCATGTTATTATCCCCAGTATTGTTTGAAACTAGTCAAGTTAACTCGTCAAACAGTTACGTGAGTAAGCTGTGAATCATAATTAATTTAATATGTCTCATAAAGGTTTTATTTTACTTATAATAAATGCTATTTTATGTAGTTATATATGTAGTTATATACAGATTTACAAAAAAAGCCTCGCTTGAGTAAGGACAAAAATTTATTCTTATTAATACACTTTCGTCTATGACTGCCTCGTTGGCAAGTGCGACTGCCGGGCAAGAGGCCTCGGGTTCGATTCCCAGGCCGGGCAAAGTATTACTGTGTTTTAAAAAAAATTTCAGTAGTAGCACGGAGTAGGCTCTATTACATAGGACTCACAACATAAACAGTGAAAAGTGAGTGTTACATTGTAACA